GGCTCCCGCCATTGTGGGGTTTTGAAGCGTTTGATTGCGTATTTTACTTAGTATACGTATTATTGGAGTAACGTTGAATTGCAAGAAGGGCAATTCACATAATTATCATTATTGTAGAACATATCATAAATTATAATCTTTTTTAGGGTAAAGAACTTGAGTAACTTGTAGTTTTCCCTAGTTTGCGCTTATATACCTTCACTTATTTGTTGCAACACTTGTATGCCTAAAATTTGTAAAACTTGTATTTTAATACTCATTGTTATGCAAACACCAGAATTTTCTACCGAACTTTCTCATGTGACATTCACAAACTAATTTTAGAGCTTTTTAATCTTTAATGGTTGTTGAATTCAGGGTTAAACATATTCTAATTCTATTTAAACTTATCGTAATTACATTTTAAAATAGAAATACGGGGATTTAACGATAAATTCAACAAAATTAAGGAATAAAAAGTTTAAAAACTAGCTTACGAATGTCACATCAGAAGGTGGGGGTAGGGGGTTGATGTGTGGGAATCTGATGTTTGCACAACATAGAACATTAAAGTGCAACTTTTAGAAAGTTGTGGGTATATAAGCACTGCCGAGAACAAGTAAGGGTATATAAGTGCAAACTTAGGGGAAACTATAAGTTACTTAAGTGCTAAGTAGCTACTTTTTATGTAAAGCTGCGAATGTCATAAGGATAATTTTCATGGCAGTATGAGGTAATTTTTTTTTATAGATTTGCCAGTTTTATGATAACCAAAAAAAATTAAAAAAATAAAAGTTTGTGTCGCTTTTGTGTAAAACTTAAATACTAAAAAACTCCAACCCCTATTAATTAACAGGTTAGATTAACTAGATTCGGATTTAGCCCAATCAAATTACCTTTTTATATGGTCCTTAATGGGCTTCCTCTTTTATGTCCCAGCTTATATCTAAAGCCCAGCTCCTACAGAAAACGGGTGGCTGCAAACACAAAACGATCAGCAAAAGTCAGTGGCGTTCGATCAGTGTACCCATTATGGAGCTCTTCCGTTCACTTCCTTCTCCAGCTCTCTCAGGTACCCACGAAGAACTTTTTTCATTACACAGTTGAATTTAATCATACGATAAATGAGAAAAAAATACATATAGAAGATGCCCTTCAATTTGTATTGATTTGTCATCTCAATTTCAGTATCCAACCGTTTGTTCCACTTGAGTGGTAGGTTTTGGGCGCCACCTATTTGTTGAAATGACTGTTTCAGCTTTTCCTCTTTTGGGTGTTAGTTAACACGTTTATCTGTGAAATGTTAGAATATACAATTATATCTCTCAACCCTGAGTTTTACGTAGTTTTGGTGTAGTGGCAGGATCCTTTGACATGGTATCAGAGCAAACCATGTTTGAGTCTAGCCACGACCATGTTTGAGTCTAGCCACGAATTTCTAAAGCGGAATTGTATTTAAATTAAAAAAAAGACCGCTCCATGCGTCAAGATTTCAGCCCTTGGAAAGGCCCTCAATCTGTTGGGCCATGTTAGAGTATAATATTATCTCCCTCAACCTCAGCCCAACTTAGAGTTTTGGTGAAGTGGAAGTTGTCTTTGATACCAAAGAATGAGAAAGCTTTTTCATTTTCTTGCTTTAGGTGGAATTTATGGGTTGCTTAATGTTTACGGTGTGTTTGAATGGAGGTAGGAGAGGGTAGGTGAAGAGAATTTGGGAGTTCACTTTGTTTGGGAGTTTTTTTTTTTTTTTTTTGAGAGGGGTAACGTAAGGGAAGGAAGGGGAATTCACATTAAAACATGGTTATTCCCACCCACCCACCCACTCAAAATTGGGGTGTAGCGGAGGGAAAGGGAGGGGAAATAATTATAAAAGAAATTTGACCATTTATCACTATGGATCAACGGGTGAGATTTGATCATAATACATTTTCTTTCCCTTCCCTTCTCTTAGTTAATACTCCCAAATTTGATAAAACAACTTTCCCTCCATTCTCTTCACTAAACTCCCAAACAACATATTATATTTTCCCTCCTCTTCTCTACCTTCCCTTTCTCTATTTTATCTTCCCTTCTCTTCCCTC